TCCTGGATCAAAGGAAATTATCTGCTATATTCTAATAATTTCATCCAATTAAAATGATGGATTTTCCACACGTCAATGGGATGTGGGGATGTTTAGAGGGGGCAAACATCCAGTGTTGTGCCTAAATTTTGTGATCAGGGGTATGAGAGAGGATATTCAACTTCCCTTATGTTGGAAGTGACACATTTCCCTTTTTTGGTAACTATTATGTGGAAAAGTTTCATTTATTATATTAATTATTTTATTACAAAAGTTTAGGGAAAAAAAATTATTTAATGGGACAGTAGAATCTCACATAGCACTATACTTTCCTTAAATCTATGTTTGGTGCAATTTTGGAAAAAATATAACATCATGGATGCCATAGGAAATAGCGACTTGGCTTGGCAAGAATTAACTGATAAATGCATGAACAAAGTGTGGAAGAAGTTATGGCTGAAGGTATCCAAGAATTCTCAACCAGAAGAGCCTATTGCTATATCGTTAGGTTGACCAAATTGTCAATCTAATCGATACAGCTGGACTAGGAGATGTAGATGAGCAGGATATTGAAGAGTTTCTCTGGTTTCTGGTGAGAGCCTTACTTACAATGATCTTCAAGAACTGGCAGAACAAGAAATTCATGTGCAACTGGAAAACAGTGATTCTGAAAACGAATAACCCAAAGAATTTCTTTACAGATGCCCTTAGTATAACTTTGTTAATGAAAACAGAAATCATTGATCAAATTGTAGTGAATGGTCCAGATTTTGAAAGGAGTTCAAAAGCAAAACGAGGTGTTTTGGATGTGATCTTCTGCTACCGACATTTGCTTCAGGAAAGAAAAAAGCGACAAATGAAACTACGTGACTTTTTTGCAAAAAACAATAATTTTAGAAGAGCCAGGACCTTTATCACAAAAAATGAACTTTACATTTCTGTGTGCATTTGTTTGTGTGTTATTTAACATATATTGTTATGCAAATTAATATAAAATATTATAATAAAAAAGTAAAATCTGTTTATTTTTGGTTGCATGATCTCCTTTCCCTATTTACTCTGTTAAAATGACCTCATTTAATGCTGTTTCATTTAGCGCTTTGTTGTCTAGGAATGCATCCCCCCACATTAAGCAAGGTCTTACTGTATTATAGTGATCAGCATGCATAACTGTGAAACTTTAGAGCTAGTGTACATCTGTACTCCATGTCACTAATCAAGAAGCCTGAAATCCAGCTCATTGGTTTATATCGATTCATTTATGATAGAAATGACCAATTAGAGCATAGAAGGCAAACAAGAATTTTAAAACCAATTATCAGCAAGAAAGTCTTTTATAGACTTACTATTGAAAGGTGGAATTTCCTGGGAATATTTATTGCTAAATGGTTTTGAAAACATATTTACTCGTCTAAATACTGTCAAACAACTTTTCATTAGCAAATTAGAAGTCAAAAAACAATTAAAACAAGTGATTTTATAGCAATTGTTTACATATTTCAAAGATGGTAGCCTAAGGGGACATGGCATTTAGCATCAATTTTAGCTGCATTGTTTTCACAGGTGGATGATTTGTTGATCTAATAACAGAGAAAGAAATTAACCAACTACAGTTCAGAAAAAGTTTATTATTGATGTTATTAGCCAATAATCTGTCTTTTTACCTCTAATTTGCTGTAGAATGTTAGTGACTGTGTTTACCGAAATATTTATGGTCTGGGATTGGTGAAGAAATACTTACTGGCTTAAACAAAGTCAACCCACATAAAAGAAAGCCATAAAAGATAGTATGTGGATTTTACTATCCACATATTATCCACTTACCGCTAATTGCTTTACAATGGTAGGGGATGGTCTTTCCCAAAATATTTATGGCCCGGGTTGGTGACAAAACATTTATTAGTTGGGACAGTTAAAAGACACATACAAGAAAGCAAATCAGAGCTTCATTTGCCGCAGACTTGATTACAGATTGTACAAAACACTTTTGAAGTTGATGTTTTTCTTTCTCAAAATTTGTGAGAATTGATACTTTTTGTTTTCATTATAAAATAAATAAAAATATGAGATTTTCAGAGTTTTTTTGATAAACACTTTCCCAACACTATATAATACTTACTAAATCACAAAAAAAAACATTAATATAACTATTTTTTTTTCAAAATACATGAATCACAGTGAGAGACTATTGTGTTCTTGGTGCCTCAGTGTGTAACAGTCACATGATGTGTCTAACCACAAGATATGGAATATATTTTGCACTGATTCATTAAGCAAATGATAAGGACTTAAAAAGTTTCTGAAATTATGCTGGGTTAGTCAATTAAAGGTAATGAAAAAGGGAACATATAACACATCTTAGCTAAACATGTCAGAAATAGAGAAATGTGTTCAAAGAAGTCTGTACTCGCTGCAAAGATGACAACAGTTACATTCACTGAAGGTTGTGTTAGTGAGATGACGTGAAATTGAGTCTGGCAAAAGTGTCTGTGGAAGAACAATATGCAGATATCAAATTTTGTGTTATTGGGGGAAAATCCTCTGAGACCTTGAAGATGCTTCAGAATGCCTATGATAAATCTGCCATAAGCACTCTCAAGTTTATGACTGTCATAACACTTGTGAGGGATGGGAAAGTATTGATGATGATTTGTGGAGTGGTTGTCAATCGACATCAACATTGAGGAGAAAATGTTGGTTGTATGTGAGATTGTGAGACCAGTGAGAGACTCGCAAGATGTGTAGGTATCTCATTGAACTGGCTGATAAGAATTCATAATTTCTTGACAACATTATCATGTTTGATGAAACCTGGTATTTCTTGTATGATCTTCAACTGAAACAACAGTCTGCGGAGTGGAAGTTACCCACCTCATCACAGTCCATGAAATTCAAACAGGACAGGAGTAAGAGGAAGGCCATATTGGAAATCTTTAACTCCCAAGGGATTACTTACTATAAATTTATACCCGAGGATTGCAGTCAATAAGATGCATGTTGACATCCTTTGCCATCTTAGAGAAGCCATCCATCTAACAGTGATTCTCAAACTTTTTCGATTCACCGCCCCCTTTGTTCCATAAAGTTATACCCAACGCCCCCTAACCCATTTTCTCTTGTGTGAGAAAAGGATTGGAAATATTCTTAGGAAAACTTTTATATGAATCTCACACTTTGTGCCCTTACTGTACATTGTTCTCATCATCTGGAAACCATTAAACGCAATGTTTCCTCTTATCAGCCCCCAATTTTGCCTTTGGTCACCGTTCAATACCCTGCCTCTATCATAGATCTATTCATCGCGCCAGAAGGGGGCGTTATTGCTTACTTTGAGAAACGCTGAGCTAAAATAAAAGTCAATGTGTTAGAAATATTCAAGTTGTGACCTTCAATAAAAAATATATAAAATGTCAACATTTTATATATATTCCGTCAAATTTTTATATATAGAATTTGTCTGCCGTCGCCCCTCTATATTTCCTTAACGCCCCCCAATTCTCTTTGAGCCTTCTACTGCCCCCCTGAAAGCGTCCAGTGCCCACAAGGGGGCGTTATCGCCCACTTTGAGAAACACTGATCTAAAACGTCCATGCCATTGGGGAAAACGACACATTGGGTGTTCCTCTATGACAATGCCTCTGTGCATCTGTCACTGCTGGTGAAGTAATACCTGACCAAACATGGAGTGATTGCATTGGAGCATCCTCCATACTCTCTGGATCTCCTTTGTGCAATTTCTACCTCTTCCCTCGGTTGAAAGGTACCATCAAGGGATGCCACTTCAGGAATGTGGATGAAGTTAGAGTGTGACATCTGCATTGCAGGTGTTGTTGTGAGACTGCTTCCAAGAATGTTTTTAGCAACTACACCAGCATTGGCAAAAATGTGTGGTTTCCAAAGGACAATACTTTGAAGGACATGTTGCTTGATTTGTCAGATGTACACATACTTTTGATTAATAAACCAATTCTGGGAACTTTTTGAAGCTATCTTGTATGTATTTGTAAGCACTTCATTACAATAGAACCTGGTTAACTCTAATCAATGGGGGGATTTGGACTTGGAGTTAAAAAGTTTTGAGTTATGGAAGTTCAGTTAAAAATCAAAATTTTGTGCATTGGCTTATCAGTCACCCATAATAAACTATCCATACAATATTTCTGTGGGTCTTATTACATAGAACTGTTGTCAATGTAAACCTCTTGGTGTTGTCCAGAAACTCAAACACTTAACTGAATTGTTAAATAAGCTATTGAGAAATATTTTCCTGAATGGGTGATCCATTCATTCGTAAGTGTTTAATAAGGATTTTTCTAATTGCAATATTTTGTGCCTAGAATTGATTCTTTCTTAATCAAAAATATACCATTTTTTATGATTTGTTATATTTTTATAATTTTATTGCAAATGTTGAAATTTGTGCACAGGGTTGGACTATAATAGTTTTTTAAATTAATTTATCAAAAATCCACTTATTTATCACATCAGTTAGTTGGAGAAATACATCAGCAATTAAATAAAAGAAAAAAATGCTAAAAATAAAAGCAAGTTTGAATAGCAGTTACAGTATTTAGGTCTTGCACACTGTCTGGAAGCCACCCTTCTGCCTGTCATTACATGATACAATTCTTATTTTTAGTCATATGTGGTTCCTGCACTTCATAGAAAGTTTGATTAGTTTATTCAATAGATGAATGTTAATTATTTTATTCAAATTAAAAATTCCAGAGATTTTATGAAAATACTATGTCAAAACAGTTTGATGAATTCAAGTTTACCAGTTTGATTTAACATGTAAGGCCTTATGCTAGATGATGGGGAAAGAAACTGTCTGTAAACATGACTTCAACTTATCCTAGTTTGAGTTAACTAGGTTCCACTGTACTAAGATTTTGGAAAGATATGTAATAAACAAAAATATAATTAAACATTTTTAAAATAAAAATACATGTACATAAAAAGCATTTGTTATAAATTATAACAAATGCTTTTTATCTAATTATTAATTATTTTATTTTAAGGTGTACTTAGTAGATTTTGGATTGGCTTGTAAATATACTTCAGATGGAAAACATAAGGAATATAAGGAAGATCTTAGGAAAGCTCATGATGGTACAATTGAATTCACAAGTAGAGATGCTCACATTGGAGGTAAGTATTTTTGATGTTGATATTTATTTTATTAGTGTTGAGTATGATAGGAATTTCAAATACTCATTTATTTTTATTCTAGAAGTTTGGCAATTAATAATTGTAAATGTAAAAAAAATACTTGTACAGTACATTGAATTTTACATTACATTACATTATTTGATGTCATGCTAATAAATTTAAGTGGTAGAAATATTTTGATGTGTGTAGAAGTTGATTATTTTCTGGTGTTTGGTAAAGAAAACATTAAAAACATAATTAGAAGATATATTTAAACAAGTAAAATGGCGAAGCCTTTTTGGGAAGAGACTATGTCTCGGAGAGCACAAGCAATGCATGTGCAAATCTTGCACTTGCACCTGTTTGTAGAAACACACTCAGTATTTCGTATTTTCTTTGACCTGGTTCTCGGTCCTCTGACTACCTACAAGTCTGGTTTATTTTATGTGCACGTGATTTGGGCACCAAATACTTTGTGCCAAATTGCAACTCCTGACATGTACTCCTTCATACCTGTAAGGTGTGCAGCTACTGACAGTAGTGCGATTTTAGAGATGAGACATAGTCTTGTCAAAAAAGAACAAAACACTCCATGTTCATTTTTACAACATGGGAGCACAGTTTTATGTAACAGTTGTTGTGTTTCTTCTAATTATTAATACATTTAGTAATTCTATATTCTGATTTTATTATTTAAAGAAAATATTATCATTACACATACTTTTTTCCACTTGGAACTATTTATTTGGTCTGTCACTTTAAATAAAATGAATGGAATATATAAACAGTTTATCACAGCTTATTTTTTCAGTTTTAATATCAAATTTACAATCCTTATGTTAAGTCTTTGAACTCCCCATTACCAAAGTGTTTATATATATAGTAAATTTTATTTAAATTCATTCATTATTGCAGCAAAAGTTGATATTTTCAATTTAAAGAGAGCATGTTTTTTTATGATTTTAATTCTATTCTTTATCATTCTGTTCATTTGTAAAATAAGTTAAAAGCATTTCAATATTTTTCTATTAAATAGGTAACAAAAACAAAATTTTTAAAAATTGTCTTGGTTTAATGTTATCTGAATTCAAATTTCCTGCACAGTAGTCTCCTATAAATAATGTTATTGTAGGATGTGTGCTTCCATCACTATCTTGAATACTATATTAACTTTATTCTAAACTATGAGACTGAGTTATTGGGCTACAATTTGAAAAAATTATAGATCTACGAATTTTCACTATCATCCGTCTGCCCATTTGTCTTTCCTTAAACTTGACAACAGAGTTAGATGAAAGCGAGACCAGATATGGAAAGATTGGGAGCAGGAGGCCCTGATTAACTATATATAAACTTCTGGTGCTAACTGGAAGTCAAGTTATTTCAGTTCAAAAATTTTCCCCTGAAAGAGTTAGATAGATGACTATTGCTAATGGAAAAGTATGATGTCAGAGACAAGTCACTACTAATTTGAGGTGGAGAGCATATATTTTAAATTAAAAATATGATTAAAAATTGCAGCCCAGCATTGTGATGATGTCACAATAAATAATTGCTTGTTATTGTGACAAATTTCTTAGCATGTATGGAACTAATTTTCAAACAAATGTATCACGGATACATCTCATAATTTCTATAAAAGCATTTTACTAAGGTTTGAAAAAATTTATTTAAAATTGAAATAATGATTAGATTTTAAAAAAATAATAATTAAAATGGCTGGCTGTTTTCTTTTAAAATTAAAAAATTTGAAGAAACTAAGTTTTCTTCTTTCTGCCATGTTCAATCATCAGAAAACAATGACAATGTTTCTTCAGAGACGACATTTTATTGTAGGCTACACCTCTGCAGAATTGTATAAAACAGTTAAAAAGTGTTCACTGATGATAAGCCAATTAAAAAATTGTTATTGTTTATGATGATTGGACATGGTGGGAAGAAGACTTAGTTTTTTCAAATGTTTTAATTTTAAATAAAAATAATCTTTTAATATGAAACTAATTTCCCTACAAAATGTGTGATATAGTAATGAATATAGCATAATTCAAAATACACTAACATTAAAGAAATATATTGCTAAAAGATGCAACAGAGCAATTCAAATAATAAATTAATATTGGTCGGTTTGATGGGATAAATTAATGCAACACAAGGACAATCTGACAAGAGGAAGTGCCTCTTGGGAGGACTTTCTATAGGAAAATGACTCCTAGACTCAGAGGAAACCTGAAAGACTCCATATAGCCAAACTGTTTGTCAGGCAAGAACCAACTACCAATGTTTAGTAGTTTTATCCACTTGCTCACTGATGAATAAATTACTATTACATGTAAAACAATTTTTCATGATACAGACAAATCAAATTTTAGTGCAAATGCAGTTAATCATGTAGTGATCTGTTGCCAATACGGTTCAACCACTTCTTTATGTATGTAGTAAAAAATTTATTATATAAAAATGATCACTACATTTTAACAAAAAATATAGAGGTTAAAAAAATTATCTAAATGAAGACTGCTAACTTGTAATATTAGATTTTTTAATATTAGGAGGTATTATAATATGCATTACAATGAAATACTTCAAACATTTATCTATTCATTGAGGAATGCTGTTGCAATATTGTAAGTTGCTTCATGTTGATGAGTACCACAAACATTAATCTTTATACATTTTCAATCTCTAATTATGCTAGTGTACAATATATTCATTGCAACAATTAGATGAACATTTTGCCAAATCTAAAAAGAAGCCAGAAACTTCGTATGTATTTTTTCACCCTTTCTTCCTCTTAATTTGAATATTTTTATGAATTTTCTCTTTTTGTGTAATAGTGCTGAATTGTTATAAGCAGGGTTCCTATGCACCTGGAAAGTCAGAGTTCATTAGTGTTTGGAAGAAGTCATGGAAAGTCAGGAAATATGAAAAAAATTGTCAAAAAGTCAGGGAATTTTTCTCCTTGGCTACCTCTACCTTGTGATTTTTTGCTCACAATAAGGTAGACAAAGTGTAGCTGTCTGCAGGCAGCAAGAAGTAATGTGGTACAATGCAACTTATGAAAAGGCATGCAGAATATTTTCAGGACCCAAAATTTCCCCAAAAATTACTACACACAAAATAAAACCATAATTTATGAACCAATTAATTTTTATTACATAGTTTGGAAAATTCAAATTAAATCATACATATAAGTGAGTAGGCCTACTATACAATTTGTCATGTAACACTAAACTGATAAGTTAACAAATATTTTAGATTTATTTCAAGTCTATATCAATTAGACATACACACATATACAGTAGAACCTCGATTATCCGGACTAATTGGGGATGAAGGTAGTCCGGATAAGGAAAAATCCGGATAATCGAAACAAATACTTTAATTTGTCTTTTAATGATAATACAACATGTTTTCTTTTCGATGACATATCGGTAATATTAAAAGTAAATACAGTATTTAAATTGTGATCAAATTTTCAAGAAACAAACGTTCTTATTGAATTTGGACTACTATTGACCAACGCTAACAGACTATCTATTGTTTAAAAGGCCCTCTGGTGAGGCAAGAAGACAGATTTTATAAAATAAAAAGCAGTCGAAACTACATTTTTATGAATAAAAATTTGACAAACTATTTATCGTTTTATGACGAGTAAAATTTTTTCGTCTCGTACACGGCTTTTAAGTAATGCATAAACCTTCGAGGCGCGAGGTCCTTCGGACCGCGAGGCATAGGCGGTGGCCCACGTCGTCCATGCCTTACGCCGCCCTTGGTCGTAGAAATGATGTAATTTGAATATAAATTATTTATAAATGCGTATGTCAAGTTATATTTTTATTACTACGTAAAATATATTTAAGAGTTTACGACCACTGTGATGGGTGAGACGTTGTTGAAACAAAAAAAGTTATGCATTCCATCACGTATATAAACTGTCGTAATTCGCCAAGTGCAAATCAGCAAATTCGTAAAATTTTGTTTATTTTGAACAATCCGGATAATCGAAAATCCGGATAATAGAGGTCCGGATAATGGAGGTTCTACTGTATATATATTTATTTATTTATTTATTATATATGTGTGTGTGTGTGTGTGTGTAATTGATATAGACTTGAAATAAAATAAAATTAAGGGCTAAAAGCAATAGATTATTCAATTAAATATTTTAGATTAAAAGAATGCTTTAAGTTAAGCATGTTTTCATCATCATAGAATAGCATATACAATTATAAACTTGATGCAATATGGTGATTAATAGAAATAAAATTGAATTCAGTGCTGTAAATGATTATTTTTATTTTTTGCACAGATAGTAATTAATAGACTTTTTGACATCCAAAACTACAAAATTTATTTATAACAATGACCTCAAAATGAATTTTTATAAGGCTCAAAAATTTTAGTTAAGGATGAATTTCAAGTAATGAATACCAAAAAAATATTGTATAATGGAAAATTTTCATATTGAAATTATTTTTCCATCATGGCCATTTTGTCTAACTTCTAAAACACTCCTTTACATTATTTGTTAAATTATTTTAACTAAAGTTAATAAGAAAAATTACATACATTTATAATTTAAATAATTTCATTAAAACATAATTTTTTAAAAATTACTTAAAAGTTTAAAATACAAGTTGGATCTGGGCCATGGCAATTAATACTGGCTTCCTTATGTGCTTAGCCCCATCATTGTCTTAGTGGATAAAACACTGCAGGTTTGCATCTCACAAATAGGCTGGTCACATGAAGTTTTTCAGGTTTTCTTCACAAATCTGTGTGTCATCACAACAATTTGTGGTCACAAATCTAGCATCTAAATAGAGTCAGTTTCCTGTAGAAAGTCTTCCTGGAAGGCATCTCTCCTTGCAAGATTTCCAGGTGTTGCATTACCTGCTCCCATAAATCTATCTATTCTGAGATATTTAACTGCTTTCTTTATTTGACATCGTTGAAAGCATCATCTGAAAACTGAAAATTTTTGCATAGTGTGTAGTGCT